TGCCGGCCTCCATCGTCTCGAACCTCATCTAAGCCGCCGTCGATTTCTGTCTCCAACCCCATCTCCGTCGTTCACAGACTTCAATGACGGAGGGAATCAGAATCCAGAGGTCCAATTGGTCGATCAGAACCTGGTCCAATTGGTCGAACGCGGTTCTGATTGGAGCGACGTCGATAAAATTGACCTTGAGAAGGTCGCCCACAACATCCACCTGCACAACCTCCGTCTTCTCCAAGGTTGACGACGGCCGCGAACTCCATGGATAACGTCGTGATGATTTTGGCAGCGAATTGATGAGGAAGAGGGTCGGCTTCGACATAGAGAATTGACGAGGAAGTGTTATTTTTTTTTCTCAAAGTTAGAACGGGGAAGAGGGTTGATTTGGGGGATATGTTTTTAAAATTTGATAATTTTTGGGGCTTATATGTAAATTTTAGAAGTTTTAATATATTTGTATTTTAGATTTTTGTTGTGATTTTGTACAGTTTTGCACATTAATAATACATAAATTGCACACTATTGCGTGATGAAATGCACATTAAAAACTCAGTCATATTCTTACAAAAAATTCATAATCGTCACTACCTCGCTTAGTATGTTTCATCGGTTGGTTCGGTTGAACTGACCAACCGAAGTGTCAAAATTGGATAAGTGATCAAACTTTTGGAAAAAAATGTAACAAATCAAAATAAAACCCAATTGAATTAACTAATTAACCAAAATAAATTATTATTTATAATATAAAAACTCATATAGTATTTTAATATGTTTATTTAATATTTTATATTATATTGGGTAAAAGAATAATATATTTATATAAAAATATAACAAAATACAATTTTTATATAGTTTGGTCGATCTCGATTGATATTGTGCAGTTTGATACTCATTAATGTGCAATTCGTATAACAATGTTGTGCACTTCAGCGGATAATCCTAAATAATCAAACTAATTTATTATTTATATTAATAATAGATTTAGTATATTTAATAATTTTATTTAATATTTTTATTCTATTTTATTTGAAAAAATATAATATATGAAATATCAAATTAATGTTGTACATTTCCACATACAATAATGTGCATTTCGTCTAACATTATTGTGCAATATATATTTATATTGTGCGTGTATTTGTTTATCTACGTTACAGTTGTAAAAAGCTGTAATCACGTGTATTTTAAGTAAATGACCGTGCACTTATCAAATTATATTTATTATAAAAATATTTTAGTATTTATAAGTTTATTGAATTTTTTACATTATTTTATGTCGCAAAATAAATTATATATATGTACATTAATTGTAAATATAATATAATTCTATATGCACACTTTTATGCTATTGTGCATTATTATATGTACTAATGTGCATTTAGTCTAACCTTATTGTGCATTTTATAGCACTTGTATTTTTTATGCGCATATCCAAACATGATATTTGTGTATTTAAACCTTTGTTTGAGGTTTAATGTTATAATCCATTTGATGTTTGGAAAAAAAAAAAAGATATTTGTGTATTTTACTTATCATTATTGTTTATTTGTTAGACTTTTTAGAAAATTACAAATTTAACCCGTGAGCTAAATTGCATTTTATTGAAAAT